CTCTCTTTAACAGAATATATTATTTCTTGTTACGGAGCCCGTAAAGGAGTTGTGGATACCGCTATCCGAACATCAGATGCAGGATATCTTACGCGCAGACTTGTTGAAGTAGTTCAACACATTGTTGTACGTCGAACGGATTGTGGCACCGTTCGAGGTATTTCTGTAAGTCCTCGAAATGGGATGATGACGGACARGATTTTTATCCAAACATTAATTGGGCGTGTATTAGCAGATGATATATATATAGGTTCGCGATGCATTGCTACTAGAAATCAAGATATTGGGGTTGGACTTGTCAATAGATTAATAACTTTTAGAATACAACCAATCTCTATTCGAACCCCCTTCACTTGTAGGAGCCCATCTTGGATTTGTCAATTATGTTATGGCCGGAGTCCAACTCATGACGACCTGCTCCAATTGGGAGAAGTTGTAGGTATTATTGCAGGTCAATCTATTGGAGAACCGGGCACTCAATTAACATTAAGAACTTTTCATACCGGCGGAGTATTCACAGGAGGTACTGAAGAACATGTGCGAACCCCTTCTAATGGAAAAATAAAATTCAATGAGGATTTGGTTCATCCGACACGTACATGTCATGGGCATCCTGCTTTTCTATGTTCTAGAGACTTGTATGTAACTATTGAGAGTGAAGATATTATACACAATGTGTATATTCCGCCCAAAAGTTTTCTTTTAGTTCAAAACGATCAATATGTAGAATCAGAACAAGTGATTGCTGAGATTCGCGYGAGAACATCCACTTTGAATTTGAAAGAGAAGGTTTGAAAACATATTTATTCTGACTTAGAGGGCGAAATGCACTGGAATACCGATGTGTACCATGCACCTGAATTTACATATGGTAATATCCATCTCTTACCAAAAACAAGTCATTTATGGATATTATTAGGGGAGCCCTGGAGATCTAGTCTAGGCCCCTGTTCGATCCACAAGGATCAAGATCAAATGAACGCTTATTCTCTTTCTGTCAAGCGAAGATATATTTCTAACCCCTCAGTAACTAATAATCAAGCGAGACACAAATTTTTTAGTTCGTATTTTTCTAGTAAAACTAAAAAATCATGATTATTCAGAACTTAATCGAATCACATGTACTGATCGTTGTAATCTTAGATATCCGGCCATTCTCGACGGGAATTCTGATTTATTGGCAAAGAGGCGAAGAAATAGATTCATCATCCCACTCGAATCGATTCAAGAAGGCGAGAACCAACGAATACCTTCTTCAGGTATCTCAATTGAAATCCCCAGAAATGGTATTCTCCGTATAAATAGTATTCTTGCTTATTTCGATGATCCTCGATACATAAGAAAGAGCTCAGGACTTACTAAATATGAGACTAGAGAACTGAATTCAATCATHAACGAAGACGATTTGATTGAGTATCGAGGAGTCAAGGTATTTTGGCCAAAATACCAAATGGAAGTAAATCCATTTTTTTTTATTCCCATGGAAATATACATTTTGGCCGAATCTTCTTCCATAATGGTACGGCACAATAGTATTATTGGGGTAGATACACAAATCACTTTAAATAGAAGAAGTCGGGTAAGCGGATTGGTTCGAGTGAAGAAAAAAGCAGAAAAAATTAAACTAATAACCTTTTCTGGAGATATCCATTTTCCTGGAAAGACAAATAAGGCATTCAGATTGATACCATCGGGAGGGGGAAAACAAAATTCCAAAGAATACAAAAAATTGACAAATTGGCTCTATATCCAACGAATGAAACTTTCCAGGTATGAAAAAAAGTATTTTGTTTTGGTTCAACCTGTAGTCACATATAGAAGTTATCATTTCTTATGTAATTTCTCTAATTTATTTTTTTATTATATTTTAATTTAAGTTTAATAATGAGATAACTTATTTTTGGTATAGTATTATAAATTTTATAAAGATAATTTATACTATATTATAAATCATTTGACAAAAACTCTTAAAAACCATTTTTTTGGCATTAAGTACTGTTTATTAATGTATATTACTTAAAATTTAAGATGACAAATAAAGTGTGCGTAAGTACAACTTATTAAAACTCCATTTTTGAATTCATATAACTAACTGCAAATAAAAATAATCAAATTCCGCTTAAATATCATATTTGAAATATAAATTTTGTAAAATATAATTAGAATAATCATTGAGTTCTAATAGATTTCTTAATTATTATCCTTATAAAAATTCATATTATTAAATCAAAAATAAATTACTTTGT